AAAACATCTCATTTCTTTACCTGTTTGTTATCTTGTTGGTGTTACTGTCAGCTAATACCAGATCTTTCTCGCTCAGACCAAGCTTTTTAACAGTGTTGGACAAGTCGTTCGGTCTTCGCTTTTGGCGACRGAGTGTAAAGTTTCCTGGAATGTACGTCATCTGTGTTGTTGGCAGGTGTTCCTTCATAAGAAAATTAATTTTCATTGTGAGTTTGTAATGTTATAAATTGTGAAGGGCTGGGAGGTAAGTTATAGAACTTCCTTAGTTGATTAGAACCAAACTTCTATTTTTATCTTATGTTTTGGTAGCTTTCRCTTGCCGCCGTTTTTGCCACGACTATGAACAGTTCAGGAAGGCTTATTTCAAAAAATGCAAACACATTTTACCTGATGACTTAGATGTCAATACGTCACGTTTTTGATGTAATCCATGTTTCAAATGATGTGGAGACTTTGTGGTCACCTCTGTAGTTTGCTGTTCGTATCGTAACAGAGGACACGCCTTTGTATGTGCTTTAATTTGGTTGGATATTTGTTTTGCAGTTTGCTTCAATCCTCTTCATTTGCTGCGTGGATATCGAGTGCAGTCGTATATTTGCAAACAGAATCGGATGTATAGAGTGTTGTTGCACGAAATTCAAAGAAGAGGAAAAAGGATAACGTGGTGAAGTTTGACTTGAATATCAAAGAATTGCCCCAGAAAAGTTGTCCTTCGTTTAGCAGCCATATATGGTAATCTTACCTATCTTATCTTCATGCAATCCATTTTATGATTTCTTTATATGAACGGCACAACTAGATTGCTTAAGGTCTGTAAATCCCATCACGGTCTGTTGCGCCAACAAGCATCACTTCTCATTGAAGAAATGTTAAAGTTGTTGGGTATTAAAGATTGGCTAGTGTGGTCTAATGGTATGTGTGCAGATCTAAGAGAGGTCTGTGTGGCCTTGAAGCCTGTGTGGCTTTTAGTCTGGTCTATGTGACATCAATGCCTGTGTGGCGTTCTGCCTGTGTACTCATATCATATGTTTGGTCAAGGAGGTAATGGATGAATAAATTCTGTTACAGCAGTTTAACTTATTTATATTTGTTTATCTTAGTTATCAGAACMTTTTTCAGCTCTTTCAAGAAACTGGCACATTGGTGCATCTCATCAARTGGTGATTATATAGAAAGGTATGTGTGAAACCTTATCCTGATTTACAATGTTGATCTGAGATGTTAGCAATTGACACTGGATTTAACGTGGTATGAGTCTTTTTCAAATTTGTCCAAACTTGCTGCTGATGATCAAATGCTTACACATGAAATAGATTTGATTTGTACAAAATCATGAATATTCAATAAAGTAACTAAAGTTTAATATAATCTTATTGCATAGAAGTGTTCTTCACCTCACGTATGTATATAGTATTAAGCTAGGACAATGAAACTAACAACATTTAAGTAATAACCCGAGTAAGAACTAGGGAAGCAAACGGCACAGGAATGCAAGAAGGTGCTAATTGCGCATTGTATAATCAATCCATCCCATTGGTTAAAGTGCACATGACACCATTAGAAATTCATTCTCATCCAAAAAAGAAAATACTGCTAAGTTCATCTGTGAAGAAAGAAATTGATTTCAAATTGTATTTTGTAAGTTATGGGCGATTAAAACTTYGAAAATGCAAATGAAGTGACGTCTACTAAGGAATGATTTAATATACAAAATCATGAAAGAGAACGTTATTCTTTTTGTTACATTGGAAAAAGCATTTTCAGCTCTCAATTATTACTATGATTGATGATTTGTGCTCTTCAACCAAGAACAGCATAGCGCAAACAATGTAAAAAGACTGGATCAATTCCTTAGTTGACGTCACTTCATTTGCATTTTCAATTTTCAAATGTCTATAACTCAGAAAATACAATTCAAAATCTATTTCTTTTTTCGCAGAAGTAGTTGGCAGCGTGTAAACTTTCGGATAAAAGTGTTTTTCTAAAAGGTGTCATGTGCACTTTAAAACATGAAAATCTGCTATAATTTCACAAGTTAGCTAATTTTCTAATATTTTATTTAATGTCTGTTTTCGCTTTCATGAAAGCTTTCTTTAGCTTCAATATTAAGGCAATTCTATGTGGGAAACATTGCAAATTAGAAGCATCTTTTGGCTATTGTTTTGAGTGCTTATGATTGGATAAGAGCTTTTAATACAAAAGAAACTTTGTTTCAAAATAGAGTTTAACCACATTTTATTTCAAAAATGTGTTACCCACAGGTTAATACATAATCAGTGTGAAAACCAAGACATTCGTACATGGGGAACTTGCTATGCCGCAGAACAATAGAGAGTTCCCTAGTTCTTTAGCGCATTGTTACTTAACAACAATCATCAGTTGAATTGTCTAGTCGCTGTCAATGAAATTGGACTTTTTAATCAATCATTTTACTCTACCCTCATTGTTGCTAATTCGAATTAAATCAGTATAATAATATTATGGATGAAATGACAAAAATTCTCTAATGCACAACAATTGAACACTGATTTGTTTGTTTATTGAATACCAAAGAATAAAAGAATGGAAAAGTTCAAGAAAGATAAAGTTCAAGAAAGAAAAAGTTTCAAATTAATGTTTATTATATTTCTGCGAGATGTGCTGAGGAATGCTGCTGCAAGTGAAAGGACATTTATAGTTTTAGTATGTGAAATATTAAAGTTACCAGTAAATCAAATATGCAACGATGGTTAGCTTATATTTTTTTTATACTTCGTTCTTCTTTATTACCTCTGGCGAAGGGTGGGGCACACTTGGGATGTATGCCCCCTTTGGAACAATTTGTACACTACTTCAAAAGAGATTCAGTGTTGTAAGAGATATTTTCATGATGAGGTTMTCATGGTATATTATCTAAAAATATGATTTAAGTATTTGTTATAATTAAAGTATTTCAAAATAAAATAACTAGACCCCGTATGCAGGGTTGACACGTACCCTTGTTGTACATGATGTTGTGAAGTCAAAATAAAAAAATAGGCAGTCGAAGACTGCATGTGACTAACAGGCTGAATAAATGCATGAAAATTATAATGACAATGAGAAAGGTAGCTGTGTATTTATGTATGATAGATTATATTCGTAGAATTGTTTGAAAACTGAATTTGAKAATTTGGTGTGAAATCCTGAATTAGTGCAATTTTGTGCAGTTTCTTACAAAATATTTCACAGATATAGTGAATGCACTCTAATGAATTGTTGCCATTTTCAATTAGAGTCGTCAATGTAAAAACCTGTGAAACAAAGTGAAATAATAAAGCGTAGTGTTAAACGTAAATTACAAGGAAGAAAACAACGGTTACAGTGAATTTCATGAGTTTTTGGAAACAACTATACTGATTTTATAAAGCAGAGTACAAAACAGAAGTGTACAAAATACCACTAAATACTGCTAAAGTATGCTATTTCTATTTTTTAGTTAGCACTATTTTGTAGTATTGTACACATTTATTGCTTGTACTCTAACATAATTATGCAAAAGATATACCCTCTTTAAGACACMAAAACGTAAAAATCCATACCCTGTTCAAGACAAATCGGAAAAATAAAGAATAGCTATCTACGCCGCAACCATCAAAAACATCCATCAAAGACAATAAGAAGTTTTTGATAACACGTTAATCCTGGGACATTGAAACGGTATTTCTACTATTTCTACGGTGTTTTTTATGAAAATATTACCCTGTCCAAGACACACACAAAAATTATATCGG